GGGGGGGGGGGGTGGGGGAGGGGGGGGGGGGGGGGGGGGGGGGGGGGAGAGCGTCAATTCGGTTTTTGGGCAAAAGAGAGAGGAGGCAATATTGGAAATATTGTGAGTGATGTCGACAGAGGCGCCTGTCTCGGATGTGCACCAACGGGCTACACCCTTGAGTATATCCACACTTTTGAGGTGTACTGCTGTAATCAAGGAAACATTCGATGGCATGAACTACCAGACATGCCCGGCATTGAGCAACGCGCGGAATGGAACATTAACAGCGCCGGTAGGGCGCAACACGCTATAAGGTTGCTGGCGCGGAAGGGGCATGATGGGAATGAGGGGTGTGGAGGGCTGGGGACTGCCCGACAAAAAAGTCCTCAGCATTCATGTTCACCACACATCGGTGATGCCATGGCCTACTTGCTCTAGTACGAACGGCATTGAATGGTGTCCGTGGTGGACTGGGATAAAGGCAAGGGTGGCCGCCTCAATCGGTCATCAATACGTCATACCAAACTGCACTTGCTGGTGCGGGATGGGTTGAGGCTGTCCGCTTCACGTTTACTAGAGATTTTTCGCCCGTTACCTCGACAGTGCACAAGGCATTGTGTACGAACACGTATTGTAGGGCCAGTAGAATGGTCGACACGGGACTGCTACAGTTGTCTGCTGTACAAGTGGTCAATCAGTGCGTTTGGGAGCAGCCCAGAGGAGGGACGGATGGGTGGGTGCAAGCGTTGGCTCAACGGAGGCGCGTGTTGGGGGGCAAGTTTGATCGAAGTCCGTCTCGGCGCTGAACTGCTGTTTGTGGGAGCCTATGCGCTTGCACACTTCACCGACGGCTGAGGGCTTCCGTGCATCGCAGAGTACGGAGCACTCAACCAAACACACCGCACGCAAGGGAGACAGAGCAACAACAGACCCAGACCAGACGATCCCACCGCCGGAGAACCACCCACCTTCCTCAGGGAGCTCCATCATCTCGCCGCCGACTCCCAGCTGCCCCCTCAACCCTTTCCCCCAGCCGAACACCCTGCCGCTCTCGCAGAGCACCAGCACCTGCTGGAAGCCGACGGCCAGCTTGACCACCGCCTCCCTCTCGAGCGCGCGGCCGCCCACTCGAAGCGGCTCGAACACGGTGAAGACGTTGTCGGGCCCCTGCCCGCACTGGCCCCACCGGTTGTACCCCATGCAGTAGACCTTGCCGTCCTCGCCCAGAACCACGGTGAGGGCGGCCGAGCACGCGACGCTCTTCGCTCTGAGGGAGGAAGGGGTCGGCGGGAAGTGCAGCGACGGGCGGGCGTCGTGCAAGGCGGCGGTGACCGTGGAGGCCGTCGAAGCCGCGGCGGGCTCCGCCATCAGCGGGACGGAGACCGGGCTCGGGAGGACCTCTCTCGAGCTGGCGAGGGCGTTGATCGCGGTCACCACGAACGGGAACAGGCGCTGGATGCGGTTGATCCGCAAGGGCTGCTTCAGGTCGAAGGGCCGCCCCCACACCAGCACCTCCCCGGTGTCTCTGCAGACGGCAGCGGAGTGCGTCCAGCCCGCGCTAACGCAGCGCAGATCCCTGGACGCGAGGGCCGCAACGGGGAGGGCCTGTTCTCGCGCTGAGAAGTCGCCATGGCCCAGCGCGCCGAGGAAGCCCTCGCCGTGGGTGTAGACGTGCAGTGCTCGCTTGCGAGATTGGTGGTGATGTCGTGGTCGGGAAGGGAGTGAGGAACGTGTGGCTTGGAGAGCTCGACGCATGATATTGAGGCAGCAGCGCGCGGCGAGATTTCCCCATGTTGCTGCTGGGGGCACCGCATGAACGTTTGTACGTACCCTAATAATTCTCTTGTACATATCACGGAACTCCCTATTTTTTACCATTTTGAATGTTTGAAATGGCGTGTGTGTCCTCGGCTGTGCGGCCCGTCGTCGTCTGTTCTCCACACACACACGTTCAGAAGAAAGTAGATGCCGCAGGTATCGTGGCCTCGGGGACCTGGTAATGACCTCCAATGCCACAAGTCGTGACTCCATCGAGTACCATGGAGGCTAGCCCTTCTACTGTACATACATGCATCACGTTTAGTAAGCGAGCGGGCTGAACACATGTAGATCGAGCGGGGAGTCCGACAGGGATTCCTCCCGGTCGTGAAGCGAGAAGTTATCGTTTGTGGTCAGGATGTTGATCAGCAGGGCAGCGGACAAGTCCACTTGCTGCTGGTGACGGCTACACTGTGCTCTACTGTACTGCTCTCCGCTGCACACATACGGACATGTCGTCGCCGTGACAAGGCAAGATGTTGGTGAGGCCGGCGCGAGCACACAACACACGGCTGCCGAAAATGGGCTGGGCGCTAGGAGGCAATGAAACCTCTGATCGACGCTGATGCGCGTGAGTGCAAACAGCCGCGTTTGCCGGACGGCAGGACATCTCTGTGCGGTGCGGCGTCCAACGGGCGTCTGGGCCCGGTGAAAGAGAGCTCCTTCGTGTGGTAAAGTTGACCCGCGCCGTTGACCGCGAATTCACCGAGGGGGGCATTCTGTCCCCGCCGGACATGGCGACTCAATACGGCTACTCCGGAGGTGGTACAACAGGCGAGCTGGTACGACAGTTTGGAAAAATCGAAGGAAAAGGGATGTTGTGTAAATTCTCCACGGGATGCCTCGGAGAACGAGCACATTGATGCCATGGCCACCTGTTTTGTCAGACGCGTAGTGGTTGACACTGCTGTTCATACTGTAGCCCTAACGGCCACGAGCCTGCTTTCTATCAAGTTCCTGCTGCAGCAACTAACTCAAGGGAAGAGCTTTTCCGACGCTGGTGCTTACGTAACCAATACCCATGGCCAACCTAACTTCGGAGCATGATGCGATGCGATCCACTTTCTTTCGGGCACTTTGCACCTACTCAGTACTTCGCACCAGAGGTGACATGCTGGAATGACGTTTACGACCCAGGTGTTGCTGCGTATGTCCTGCCCGTGTGGTACACCACACCAATAATCAAACCGAGTCGGATCCATTCATCTCTCGGTGGAAGGGGGGTGCGCAGCTACAACGCCAAACCATGGGTAAGGAACCACGAACGGCCGCTCTATCCCCCAAGGGCGCGAAGTTGAGTCCGACCGGTCGCGTGCAGAATTTCTCAGGTGCCGTCGAAGGCCACGTGTCTGGTTGATATTCAAATCGAGTACTCTGTCGGCCTCACTCAGCGGATCCACACACACGAAATCAACTCTCAGTGCAAAACATGCAAAAGTACAAGGCTTTGGCAGCCAAGGTCCAACCGCCATCTCTAAGCCGACACCGCAATGAAACCCCTTCCCCGGGCGCACACACAGAACTTACAACACCGACGACAAATCTACAGGCCAAAAAAAAAAAAGTTAATTGACGCGAAATAACAGGGTACCTCCGACGTGCGCAGCGTCAAGAGTTCACACAAACACAATACACGACAGCACACCGCCAACAGCAAAAACAACAACAACAACAACATCATCGTCCCCCGATCAACCGTTTTATACCACTAGAGGTTATCTCTAGTTGTTGACAGCGTACTTATGCTTGCAGGCCTTGGACAGGCACTCGTAGAAGACGGTCTGCCCCTCGTCTGCGGACCGCAGCTGCATGGTGTAGAACTCCATCTTGGGGTGCCCGCACTTCGGACACGCCTCCTCCACCTGAAAGCCGCCGCACGGGCGGGCGGCCCCCCAGGAAACGGACAAGCAAGAAGAGAGAGGGGGGGGGCGAGGGGGGGGGAAGAGAGGGAGAGGGAGAGAGACGGAGAAAGAGAAAGAGAAAGAGAGGGACAGAGAGGCAGAGAGAGGGACAAAGAGAGAGAATTTGGACGACAAAGTTGTGGGGGGATCGGGGCGACGAACGTTAGCGTCATCATCTGCGGAGGGAGTATATGTGACGCACGCGGAACAGAGCTTATCCACGTGGGTGCGTACGCGAACGCATGGCGTCGACCAAAATCCTGCAGTGGCCGCGCATGGCGTCGACCAAAATCTTGCAGTGGCCGCGCCCTTCGATACGCGTTCTCTTCCTGAGCTAGATGCAAACATGAAAAAAAGACAAACGGCACAACAATACGGTAGCTCGACCCTATTGGAGAGGAAGAGGCAAAGGCTTGCAGGAAGAAGAAAACCAGGCACAACAAAAACACAACTGCCGTTGAAGGTATACTGTACCCTGAAGGTTCACAAGCTAGGAAGCGTTAACGTGGATCCTTGGTCGACCAGACCTCAGGCGTCAAAAACTAAAACTTGGATCCAAAGTACAACAGCGAGATGTTTGGAAGTAGCACTGTTCTCTCGGGGAAGAACGGTCTTAGGGGGCACATGGTTGAAAAAGAAATGGATCCAAAGTACAACGGCGAAAAAAATTGAGGGACGACTGATTTTCCCTCTTCGGGAAGAGGGGTAGTTGGGGGGGGGGGGGCACCTTCCTGGCTTTTGAAGTCGAAGAAAAAAGGAATGTATATGTATTTACTTTTGTGCATGTAGATATATACCTGGGACTTGGAATTTTATGAAGGCGCAGTAGCACGGCCCAGCAACATTACTTGGTACGAGCTAACGGAGCATCTGAATACGTCCCTCTATTGAAGACCACATGTACGGTGGTAGTGGTACATGCAGGCTTCAAAATTACCCCGGAGGACACAAATCACTCCTTATCCAGTTGTGCAGGTTCGTCGCACTCCTTACATCGTTTCAGCTTCGCGTACGACATGTCCGAGGGAGTCGTGATTACCCGGAAAAACAACTACAAAAACACGAAGACATTTCAGTAGTTGTTTCCATAGCCCATTGTCACCAAAGGTGGTGGTATACGCACCGTTGCTCGCTGAAGCTCCTGCTTCTCTCCTTTTCGCTGAATCTGCACTAACCACTCTGGTTCCGCTCTGTTTTGACTCCTGGTGACCACCTCCACCTCCCCGAAACCTTGCGCAACAGCAGACACGAGATGGGGATACAACGTTAGGCGAAATTGGAATTTACTCTATAATAGTAGTCGGGGTCCCCGAAAAAGGCGGTCGCCCTACATAAGGTGGGTGAAATTGGATGGCATAGACGGAACAATAACAGTTGTTCTACACATTGAATAAGGCGGCTGCCCCACTAGAAGGCAGCCATTATCAGCAACCCCCACCACAGCCGTATTCAGGGACTGCTGTATATATGGGTAAGTAGTTGCGCGACCACCCCGGGCGACCGGCAACAGCAGTGTATTGTACCAGTAGTCTACGCAGGTTTTGCAAAGTAAGCAAACTTATTTGGATAAAATATTCAACCGGATAAGTCTGGGTTGGGTGCCTGGTACAGCAGTAAGGGCCTGTTTTAACGTTAAAAACTTGCACCTACATTGAGGCCCTGCAAAAAATAATTTTGGGGGGGGTGCCGGGGGCCAAAGACGCTGATTGGTCCACAGGAAAAAACACGATGAGGCTTTCTCTGCCCGGAAAAGCGGGACTCCGATATTGGGTGCAGCAAAAAACAATTGCACATTGAAATATTTTTTGCTGAATCGAACTACCCGAGTTGCACTGCGCCCCTTTTGCACCCCCCGTGATGAGCTGAACTCGTGCTGGCGTTACCCCTGACGGGACTGCATGTGGCACACTGGCCGTGCGGCACCCACACGCATCGCCCGCTGCCCGCTGCTGGGAGATAGCTGTATTACAATGAATCCGTGAGCGTGCCAACTTTTTGCGCTGGTTGGGTTGCTGGGGAAGTTGCTTTCCAATATGTGCAATGTCAAAAGTCAACGGCCGGTTTGTGTGCAGCGAGACAGTCCAAACAACAGTCGTAGAGCAAGCCTGAGGATGAGGCTTGGACCGCTGGCACCACCTGCTGATGCTTAGCTTCGTGTGTGTGCTGACATACTGTTACAGCTCCCGTGTGGTGCACATGGTCTATCGCTCTGCCTGGTTGGGTCACCACGTCACCTCGCGGCAGCAATTCCGCCGCATTTGGGTGTTGCTGAACTTCGGTGTTGCAAAAATGCGTTCATCCTTTTGAGTCTTCAGGCGTTCTCACTGATCATTGATTGATCTTTTGCAAATGCTGGTGTAGAGCCAAGTCGTGGAGTTGCCGCCCTGCACCCCTTCGCGCCGTGTATTGGCAAGTCCATAGGTAGGTGTGTCTAGGTGATTAGCACCCGCGCTAACTGGCTGACCAATGAAGAGACGCCAGTGACAGCGGGAAATATATCAAGGTCTCGGGAATGTGGCCAATCAATGCCAAATCATGAATCTCTCAACGTATATACATGAACGCGTGTGTGCATACATACATACATACCTATGTGTTCTTTCGCAGCACCACACACACACTCGCCCGAACGTAGGAAGCCACTGCTGCAAAGAGCAGAGGCAGCAAAAGGGAGGGGTATTGCAAGCCCTGCCGAAACCCAGATATCGAGGATATCGTGGTTCCCAACAATTTGAAAATCGTTCCCAAGATCCAGCAATCATTGTGTCAGCAACTACAACGAACGCTACAACAACACTACTACTACTGCTGTAGACGAGTAACACATATCAGCAACACATCCACACTCGTAGCGCCACACACACCACCCTCGCCCGAACCTAGGAAACCACGAGGAACAGGTGTGTTCTGGTGGATGTGCTTGTTGTTTGAAAAACACAGGAGCTCTAGAGAGCTGGCAGGGCACATTTCGGGGGAGGACAGAGAACAGAGAAGTACAGAAGTACAAATACCAGCTATGGGTCTTCACTGATCATTTTGCCCTCTCTGGACTGATCATTTACAATATACCGAAAATAGACTAATTAAGGCAGCTAGACGACTGATTATTTCAAAGTCTACACAGCTAACCTGCCCTACTGACCGCAGCGCGACCACCCATCAACCCTTCTACGACCCTGTCTGTGGCCACCACCCTGTCGCCGGCTTCCCTCATGGCCTACAGGTGGAGATAGTTGTTGCGTGTGCAGAAGTAAGGAATAATAAAAACACACACAGAAAGACTACCCATTCGAGATATACTCACAGTCGAACGGGATGTGGTGGAGTCTTTTCAGTGAGTGGAGGGAAACCGGCTGGGTACTGGACTTATTTCGAGTCTTTTTAAGTCTATACACTGAAGTACACTGGTGTCTTTCTCTGCACTTCTCTCGCTCCCGCTCGCTCTCGCTCTCATATTTTTTTTTTTGGCGCAAAAAAAACAATCTGACAGACCAGCCTCGACCCAAAGGGGTTAAAACGACGCAAGCCCTTTCTGGCCAAAAACCCAAATTGGTTCATCTAATTTAGGTATTCAATTTAGGTGACAAACATAAACGTTAATACACGGCCTAACCCTCTACTTACGCACTGGTGGGTTGTGCCGCAACATGCACGATACCCCGGTTTGAAAATGCGGCGCAATGTCACACACCATCCACTCACTTTCATAGGATATCCGCAAGTGGCAGTGGTCACACAAGATGTCCCCAGACTCCGGAGGGTCCAACACGCTCCCGCACGACGGGCAGAAAGGCCACGGCATGCCTCTGCAGCAGCGGTGAGGCGAGGTGGTGTTTTCTGTCCCGCAGCACGAAGCTACTTCGGGTGTGTAGAGGGAAAGTCCTCCTGCAGACGTGATGGTACTGGTAACCAGGTGGCGTGCTTGGATGAATGTCCTCTCTTCTATAATGCCCCACCCTCTCCTCTCGCTGTCTGCTGTGCTGGCTCTCTGCTGCGCCGTCTCTGTGGCGTGTGGTCGGTGGGTGGTCGGTTCAATGCCAGCCAGCGGCTGTACATGGTGACTTGGTAGGGGGGCGAGTAATCTCCATGGCGGTGCCCCCTGTCCAATGATATTCAGAGATCCAAGATGAAGACGACATCACCTCAACACCTCAACGGCCAGGCCTGACCACACGCCATACATGATGCCGGTTTCTTCCACCAATCCTCCCATAACGATTAGCCCTCTGCGAAAAGATGACCTACTCCTACACAGGGAGAGAATAAATACGAAATCCAGTTTTTCGGTAAAATGTAATCTGAACCGCGGCGAGTCTTCTGCCGGTTCGTCTTTCGCGCGCACGACCCCGCCCAAGCCTCAACTCCTCAATCTTCTCTCACCCTCTCCCTCTCGTTAAAGGGGAGCTTTACACCACGAGCTGAACGAGAGAGGGGGAGAGACCCGAAGACTAGCCGCGCCATCATGGAATAAACTGCTGGTCGAGGCCACCTGGTCTTCCCCCAGAACGAAGTTTCCACCCACCACCAAAACGGTCGATTGCGCACGCCGAGCTGCGTGCAAGGTGCGTCTAGAAGCAAACCCAGAGAGTACAACTGTTCCCAGTACACATGCAGACAAACTTGATGTCCTAACCGGGCACAAGGAAGAGTTAGAATGCTGCTGGGGTTACTGTACTCTTGACGGAGACACGTGGTTTGTGGAGTGTACTCGGACCAAAGATATGTTTTTTTCGGACGACTGCGGTGCATGTAAAAAGTAAACAGCGGTGTACGAACGCATCCAGTGCCGCCCCGCTCAAACAGGACCAAATGGACCGAATTTTTTGTAAGTTATCTCCGACCTTCGATAAGGTTTTTGACCACGTTCAGCGAAGACAAACACGTGCCATGCTCGAGATGGCAACCGGGGGTCATGGGCTGTCTGTGGAGAACTGGTCACAACAACATCGAAAGTGTTGGGTTCGTAGCGTCCGCCTTCGTCGACGTACAAGAGGAGCGATGTCGGCGTAATTCCCCGCCGAGAAGCATTCGTCTCACGTCTGGTATCTATGAGACTTTCAGCATTGAGCGCTACATAATCCCAGAAACACCGATTTCAATCTGAACAATACTTTTTGTTGGAAGTGCTTGTAGTACAAGAACGGCTCTATTCTACTGCATTGGGTTTGATGCAGTATTGTGAAGGCGTTGCCTAGTCTGTAACCGTCAGGTGAAGACAGCTTGGGCGTCTGTGTGAAGATAATAAATCACTCTGTGTTTCTCTACCCAAACCTCAGCCACACACGCCACCCGCAGCGTACCACAGCCGCTGCACTGCTGTTGCAGTTGTAGGCGTACTGCTGTCAGGTTTTGAGCCTCGCGCGGGAGAGGAACAGAATCGAGTCAGAACATGGCATCCGCCTCTCAAGCCACGAACCATCTCCAGCGAGGGTATGCGCCGTTTGACGGAAATCCGGCGCATTTCCATGGTTGTCAGTCTCTCTTCCGCTCCTTGATGCACGAAGCTGGCCCGGGAAAGGTCATGTCTGGAGTCGAGACTGCACCACCTGCTCTTGCTGCAACTGCTACCGCGGCCGAGGCCGCAGCACACAAGAAGCTGGCGGATGAGCACAAAGAAAAGAACAGAAAACTCTACACTCGTCTGCCGTTGGCGACATCGGATTGCGCCGACGGGTACGCCAGCGTGGCATCCCAGGTGGTTCAAACGTATGCCCCGATCGGGACAGATGAATTCGGTGACGGGCGCAGTGCTATGGTCGCACTGCAAGCGAAGTTCCGCGTCGACGGCGTGTTCCGCATGCAGGAGCTGCATGACAAGTTCGGGTCTCTCGAAGTGTCCGCTACAGACCATTTTGACCCTGCGCGCGTGATTCAAGAGTTACGCCGCATCTGCATAGAGCTGGACGCTCTTGGCGACACCGTCGTTCCGACCAGGAAGACACACGCCTTTCTAAAGCCGCTCCCCGACAATCACTACGGGTCGTTCAAGACTGCTGCTGTGCGAGAAGCCGAGTGGTGGTCGTGTCGCGTTGGACTTCGACGATGTGGCCAATCGTGCAACAGCGTACCATGCGATGCAAACCCGCGGAAAAGTGTCTTTGAGCGATGATGGCTCCGGCAGCCACGGCCGTGCGTTGAACACGGTCACACACGGAGGGGCACGTGGCTTCCGTAAGCAAGGCGGGCGTGGTGGACGAGGCCGTCGAGGAAATGGCGGCAGAACCGCAAGCGGTTCGAACAGCGATGGTGCATCGAGCGGGCACAACAGCAACGGTGGTTCCTCGAAGGGGAACTCGCACGGAGGAGACAGCGCGGGACATGCGCAAGACGCACGCGGAAGAAGTCGCGGCAGCCAAGCCTCCGGAGGTAGAGGTCGAGGACGGGGCCAGGATAATGGCCAAAACAACCGGGGACGTTGCAGGTACGGCCACAACTCAACGAGCACGGGTGGCATGATTGCCCACTCCGCCTCTCGCATGAGGCAGAGGACGCCAAAGAACAGGCGCACGCGACGAAGGAACCCACCACACAGGCATGGTTCACGCAGGTCCAGGTAGACAGCAGTGAGCTAGAGGCCTTCGCGATTGTTATCGGAGACGACACGCAGGCGCACAAAGAGCCTGCTGCGGCGCCGCACGAGGAGCGCGCCGCTGGTGAAGAGTAGGAGCAGAGGCCTGCTGCGGTGCAACTCGAGGAGCGCGCCGCTGGTGAGCCGCAGGTGCAAACAAGGCCTGCCGCAGCGATGGGAGAGGATCTCGGTGCCACTACTCACCTTCAGGCGGTGGAGGCGCCTGATGCAACAGAGATTGTTGCGTACACCAACGTGTTTCAAGTGGAAAAGGTGAACCGGGTTGTAAGTGACAGGACCGTATACATCAATACAGCAGCGTCTGGCCACATGGTCTGCACTGAATCGCGCATGGCCAAACACGTACGCGACCCGGCTGCCTGCGCGGTGCGCATTATAGGATCATGTGGTACGTCGAGTGCCACCAAGAAGGGTACTCTAACGTTTTAAGATCCGAAATTCTCAAGATCACGTCATTCCGGTAGCGTTGGAAGTTCTGCTGGTTCGGGGCCTGGGAGCGAACATCTTTTGGGTCGGAGCACTGGACGAAAAGCGGGTGAAGTGTGATCTTCTTTCGTCTCCTCCGGCCCTCATTCACGGTACGAATACCTTTCCCATTTCAACCGAAATGCCGCGGATGTATGTCGCCAATATCATATTGGATGACGTGGACGCACCGCAAGCCCAGCAGGAAATTTACCGCACCAAGGTAGACGCGCACATGTGGCATCGGAGGATGGGCCATTGCAACCCGCGCACGCTACAGCAGCTGTCGGACAAGGAGCCTACCGGCGTGAAATTCAGCCGCAACATCGAATCCGGTGACTGTGAGGTCTGTGCCACCCTCCATCTGACCGCCCACGCGCCCAGACACGGCTCGAGATCGTGCATGTTGACCTCTGGGGGAAGCATCCCGTCGAGTCGTACGGGGGTTGCCAATCCCTCGTGATGTTCACGGATGACAAGTCGCGGATGAGGTGGGGGATTCCAATCAAGAGCAAAGACGAAGCTGCTGAGGCGCTACAAACGGTTGTCCAGGATGTCGCTGATCCTGAAGGTCTCTGCATCGGTAGAATACAATGTGGGGGGGAGCTGAGTTCAAGGGGGGGTTCCAGGCACTGTGCGAGTCACTTGGGATCACTATTCAAACGAATGCCCCTTACATCCCTCAAGGAAACGCAATAGCTGAGCGCGGATTCGGCACCATCATTGGTACTGCTCGCAACCTTCTCCTAGGCGCGCCTCACCTTCCGGCCCAGCTGTGGGCAGAGGCCGTCAAAACTGCCGTATACATCAAGAACCGCACGCCAACGGATGTCTTGGACGGCAAGGCACCGCTAGAGGTATGGCAAGAAAAGCAACTTGGCAGTTTGTCACACATCCATGAGTGGGGATCGGTAGCCTTCAAGCACGTAGAGGCAAGATTCAGGCCGAACAAACTGGCCGCCAGGGCGAAGAAGATGTACCTGGTGGGATGCAACACGCACAACAAGACGACCGGCTGTGGGACCCTGCCGATCCACGCAAAATCACCAACTCAGCAGAGGTCTCATTTCGCGAGAAAGAGACGCGCGACGTGGCCAAACCCAAGATAGGACACGACCCGCTTCCTGACCTGAGTCAAACAATTTACCAGCCTGGCTCTGTCGAAACAAAAGATGAAGAAAACGACGCGGATGCAGAAGCAGCAGGACCGCAACAACCAGAATTACGGCGGAGCAGCAGGGCCCCAGTGCTAAGGCAGGTGCTGAACCTGCATACGACTGAGGAGGCGCTGCATACGACGGAGGAAGCGTACGAGAGGATCGAACATGCTTTGCTGACTGGCGGCGAGCTCGGAAACATGGGGACGGGCAGCCCTGGTGAGGTGGGCTACATGCCTTCCGACCCCGCGAACTACGACGAAGCGGTAAGCGGACCGGATTCAGAACTCTGGAAAGCGAGCATGAGCGACGAGGGACAGTCGCTATATGAGCATGACGTATTTGACTGGGTTGATCCGCCGGAGGGTGTTCCACTGATTCCGTCGAAATTCGTACACAAGTGGAAGTACAGGATGGTGTACCGATTCGCCCGAAAAGCTGCGTAGTGGTGCAAGGTTTTCATGCAGCTGATACGGGAGCGGACAAGGCAGCACCAGTGGCGTCTATGGAATCTGTTCATCTCATGATTGCTATAGCTGCACATCAAGCTCTCGTTCTCAAGCAAGCTGACATCAAGACGGCATTCCTCCA